GAGAAAGGAGAGAAACGAATGAAATATTTGTATAAATTATGTGACTATTCTGGAACAGATTCTGCTTCTTAATTCTGAACATAGAATTCACGTTGAAATTATATGCAGGGTACTTTAAAATGATGGGACTGGAATTTCTCACGCGAGAAGAAATCGAAAGGTCCTGTACCATTTTGCAATCGGGAGCTTCGTTTTCGAGATGCGAGCGTTTAAAGTTTCCATGTGGGAGAACGCCATGGGACATGTGGCGCCACGCGATCAGTTGATTGATATAAAAAATGGCGCCTAATGAGAATCACACTGCTAAATTATATTTAATTATATCTGGAAAACAAAGCCTCAGATTGTGAAATAGTAAAAGACTTTTCCATTCCATTTTGTATAACAAATTTGGATATTTTGATTTGTTCCATCGTTTTAAATTGAATTCAATGGGATCTGCAGTGCCTTTAATGGGGGAAAATATAACTATGCTATATAATTTCATTTGTTGGAATGAAAAGAACTCTTTCACAGAAGAATTGTGAAAGAAGCCTTAATTTTGCATGCGTCAGAGAGCTCTGTTGACAGCGACTTGTTGATGCATAACTGGTCGGTGGAGACCAGACCTTAAGGCCATGCATCGAGAACAGGTTGAGTCAGGATGACGCGACATAAATTCTCAGTCGTGCAATGTGTACTTTCCATTGCACACATCACGTTAGACCGCTTTTTCCGCGTCGTTACTCGTTCTATATAGATTGTTTACCAACAGTGAAGCAGCATTTATCGAAAATTCTGTCTATTAATTCTGAAATGGCGCAACTTTTTCGGACCATCAAATGACACTGTACTCGTCCAGATTTGGCATTATTTTCATGCACTTTAAACACATATAAAATTCTGTAAAAATTCTCAGAAACATAAAAATATGTAGTTTAAGCCTATGAAATTAGAATGTTCAAAAAAAGTTAGAGAACCGTTTTATTTGCAATTAACTCGAACGAAGCGAAATAGATTACAAATGAGAATTGATTTCGACGATTATTCGCGTCGAAACTTCACTTTTACTCTGTCGTTTGGCGCTGGGACTGTTACATAATGATTTAGGCGGATAATATTTTGCAATGTGTACTGTTATGTGCCACTGAACTCAAAATACAGACCAGCGGTCTAAGTATTCCGAGGATCGACGTGTGTGGGTCGATGTTCTCTTGACCACCTGATGGGCATATAAATACACAGCGAATTCACGACACTCATGATCACTATTAATAGTGAGGCATGTGTGAATAGTCATAAGAAGAGTATTATACAATCTCAAACAACCGCTTTTATCATCTCGACGACCACACGGGGATCGATCAGGCTATCCATTGTTTTGTTTCCAACATGTTAATTTAATAGAACTTAATTCAAATATAGTTTTATAAAAGCAGGATTAAATAACGAAACCTCACTGTCTTCTTTCCACTTTATTAATTCAGTTGAATCAAACTTAAATACAGTTTTATTTCATACGAAATTGCCAAAGTAAAGAGATGACAGAAATAAATTATTATTTAAATTGGATCGACTGAAATTAAACGACGAAACCCCACTGTCTTTACTCCAGTATATTAATTTAATTGAATTAAACTTAAATACAGTTTCATATCATACGAAATTACCAAAGTAAAGAGATGACAGGAATAAATTAGTATTTAAATTGGATCGACTGAGATCAAATAACGAAACCTCACTGTCCTTTCCCCAATATATTAATTAATTGAATTAACCTTAAATGCAGCCTTATTTTATACGAATTTACTTTCAGAATTTAACGGATTTTCTTTTATTCCTCTTGTTTTTCCACGCCATATAATTAGAATTTGCGTTTGTTAAAAAGAACTTTCCGATTTCTAATTTTATTTAGTATTATAGGTGATTAACGTCACAGGGCAATATTCACGAGCCCTCCTGGACCATAGTTTGTACAAGTCGTGTACAATAATCAGGATGTATCCACGAACAAACGTATTAAGCCTCGTTTGCTTTGTACCACTGCAACTCCCCTGAATTAGCATCTCTTGAAACCCATGACACGCTAAGCGCTAGGAATACCGCGGGTAATTGCCTTTGTTTCCCCATGAGACAGCGGGACAATTTATCCTCGTTACCAGAGTTTCTCTTAAATTACTTACCCCCCGCATACAAACTTCGAACGCTTACAGACACGAGCAACCATTCGAATGTTTTCGAACCAAACATCGAATACTTCCGATTTTAAAAATACTTTTATGGTGACAGTAATTGTCTCAAAGAATATTGGAATATTAGTTACTTCACTCGATGGGACTTTTAAACCGTCAAACAAAAATGTATTAATAATTGTTTCAATCACGAAAGTTACAAAATGAAACGCTTAATATTAAATTACAATTATTAGGAATTCATCCATTTAGGAATTTGACTTTTTAAAATATTTAGGGAAACAATTATAAAATGATCGATTTTTCCAACACTTTAAATGTAAATTATATCAATTTTAAAGAAAAATTGTAACTATACTCGAGGACTCATTGTATTGCAATTGTAATGTTTCGACTGCTATGTTGTGTGCACATCGCATTGCCTTGAATGTTAAGAAACAACAGACAGTTATTTCTGACCTCACATAGTGTCCTGACACTATTCTAGAAGTCACATATCTGAGAAAATCATCCGATCGAGGAAGGACAGTCTTAACGACCACTCAATGCCATTTGCAATTACTCGATAACTATTTATTTTTGGAAGTATCAGCTTCAAGATAGGCAAACCTTAATACTTGGGAGTTTTATACGATTCTGAGATGAGCATCCAATATTTGCCTCGGTTTTAAGTAAAAATAAGTCGATCTATACTTTGATTTTACTGATGCACTTCGGAATCTTCGTACGTGTTTGTTCTATTTCCGTTCTCCTGGATAAAACTTTTAGAAAACATAGATACTGACTTCACGTTTCCAAAATTTGGAATAAAATTTTCAATTTAATTTTCTCAATTTGCTCGTGACCAGATTGAATAATCTCGATACTTTTTGTCTGAAAGACGAAATTGACCTCGAATAGAAAATTCATACGTCAAAATTATGCAACTTTCATATATAAAAATTATTTACATAATGCATGATTTACCATACGATTTGACTCTGAAAATTTTCCATTTATTTACGTCTTCGTTCGATTTCTTTGCAACTTATTCTAGAAATAGCACTTTGGTTTCTTTCCAACTTATTCTAGAAATAATTGAACGCTCTGCGCCATTGTCGTAAACAAAATCGTATAATTGAAACTGCAATGCATGGGGTCGGTGTTTAATCCAGACTTTGCTCCTACTATTACCTTTTCCAAGCAATGGCGCACTTTGTGAGCAGAGAAATGATTCAACTATTATGACGCCATTGTACGTGCATGCCCATAGTATAGTATGCACATTGTATGCAAAGAACCATCGTAGTATCGCTGAGAAATGTTTGGACTCTTTAAACAATCTCAGACAAACACACAGATCGTCGTGTTTCGTTCTAATTGTAAGTGTTGCTTCATGAATTAGGGTTAGGTTGAATATTAAGACTACAATATTTTCTGGGATACCATTAAAACAGTTTTTAAAGAGGTACTCACAATTTTTACTGATTATAATAGTGTTTATTCTTAGTCTTTTTAACTATTACAATATTTGTCTTTTTATAACATTTCATATTGGTTCGTTTAAATTTAATGACTCGAGAAACAAAAAGTTCAAGTATTCTTAAACTGTTTAAATATGGTCCTATTTATGTATGATCCTAGATTGAAAACAAAATTGGAGATGATAAATTTAATTGTATTAATTGTACGAACATTTCAAGAATTCTTTTTAATACGATTAATTAGGAATTTTAATGCTATTTTGGAGTACAACTTCTTTTTACACGATATTTTTCGACTGCTTATGATTTAAATTTCACATGTGTGTTTTGTTAATTTTGATTAAAAAATGTTTGGGAATAATTTGGAAAAACGAATTTGATGGAAGAGAGAATAAGAAAAATTTAAGAAATTTAAATACACTAACAGAAAAATATACATATGTAAGTGTTTCAATAACACAATTTTTTAATAATAAAATGACAGCTTTTTCCGTAACAAATACAATTTATTTTGATACTGGATGTTTAAAAATTTCATGAACACGTGTTAAATGTTTCCACTACTGTAAATCTAGCAAAATGTCTAAAAATATCGTGTAAAATACGTTTCGAATCCCATCTCGACGTCCCCTATACAACAATAATACACTTTGATTTCTCTATGAAAACCAAAATTTGTAAAATTCGATAGATACCAATAAACTTTTCTCTCAAAACTTTATACTGTACGTTTCGTTTCCCTTTTCCTCGACGACACTTCAGATAACGAGGTCGGGAGAAGTTCAGTAATCCGGGGATAGATGAAACTTTCGTTCCAGTAAATTCTACGGTGCCTGATTTTGGCTCGTCAGGTAAACCTAGGAAAATGTCTGTAAAAATATCGTGTAAAATACGTTTCGAATCCCATCTCGACGTCCCCTATACAACAAGAATACACTTTGATTTCTCTATGAAAACCAAAATTTGTATAATTCGATAGATACCAATAAACTTTTCTCTCAAAACTTTATACTGTACGTTTCGTTTCTCTTTTCCTCGACGACACTTCAGATAACGAGGTCGGGAGAAGTTCAGTAATCCGGGTACCGATGAAACTTTCGTTCCAGTAAATTCTACGGTGCCTGATTTTGGCTCGTCAGCTTCGAGGAAGGCCAAGATCGGAACGGAAACGGAGCACAGCCCCCTTCGTATCGCGGCGATCTCGTCGATCTTCGCTGGAAACTGATCCTGGGGCATCTGCAGTCGAAGGTGAACGAGTAGGAGCCATCGTGACTCCGCGATCCAGGTTGAGAAAGGGACTTGATCGAAGCGAGCGGCTTATAAGAGCGCTGGCGAACGAATCGTCCGTTCAGTACAGCCAACGTGATCTAAGTCAAACGAGTTACACGCAGCTCACTCTGTCCACACACCGTGGGCTGCACATACGCGCGAACCGCTTTAACGTTTCCTGCTTTCGCCGTACCCGCCCATAGGAATTCAACGAATACCAGTGTTGAACGCATAGTGACAGTTTCGCGATACGAGAAACAACATTCGTTGGAAATTTCTTTCCTCTTTCCGGTTTGTTCGACGAAAAGAACAGAATTTCGTAGCGCATCCACGAGTGCCGATACAGGACTTATATCGTACGAGTATTACGAGTATTGTGGGAATTGAATTTCCCCACAGAGCTAGAATTCGAGAAAGACACGAAGATAGAGTGACACAGAAATCCGGATAATACCCGGATTGAACACGCAGCGATTAAACGAACGCAACTTTCGCCGCGAGCTTTTGATCCAGCGAATAATTAGAAGAGTATACGTTTCGAAGTATCCTTCGTACACTCAACACCGAGGAAACGGAATATACTTCGTCAAGGACCGTGTTTTTTTAATCGATCGGTGGAACGGGAAAACATTTTATAAATATTTCTAGCCCGCTATTTGCAGACGAGAAACGGTGCATCGAACTCGAAGCTTGCATCTTCTGACGAACCTTTGGAATAAAATTTGATATACCCGGGTAGATCTGTCGGAGGACTGTTCCAGAAAAGGTGGTATCATCTAGGGGGAATAGACAAACCTGAAATATACATAGTTCAACGTGCTAAAATAGAGAATATATACAGAATTTAATTGAATAAAGCTATTAAAGACAACTCCAGAAGAAGGGATCATTTTGGGATCTTTTTGTATCGAATATACAAACTATATCAAACCAGAAATATACATAATCCAACGTGTTAAAATAGAGAATATATACACACAAATAAATATAGAATTTAATATACATTGAAATAAAACTATTGAAGACAACTCCACAAGAGGTGGGACCTTTTTGGGATCTTTTTGTATCGAATATACAAACTATATCAAACCAGAAACACACATAGTTCAACGTGTTAAAATAGAGAATATATAAACACAAATAGATATAGAATTTAATTGAATAAAACTATTAAAGACAACTCCATAAGAGGGGATCTTTTTTGGATATTTTTGTATCGAATATACAAACTATATCAAACCAGAAATATACATAATTCAACGTGTTAAAATAGAGAATATATACACACGAATAAATATAGAATTTAATTGAATAAAGCTATTAAAGACAACTCCAGAAGAGGGGATCTTTTTGGGATCTTTTTGTCGAATATACAAACTATATCAAACCATATCAAACACCCATAATTCAACGTACCATATTTATCGTGGAAATTTGTCGATTCTCACAGACCAATAGAGAACATATAGAAAATATAAATTAATATAGAATTGAATAAACTCTGAACAAAATTATTAAATACAGCTTCAAGGGAGGTCTTTTCTCGAGATACAAACAATACAAAAGATTTTGAGAGGGAAATTCAAAGTCCTTGGTGGAAGATCTATACTCAAAAGTTCATAGTGGCGCCAAAATTGCAAACTCGAAGGCAATACCACAGTGAGAACACGATCCTCGAAGCATAAGGGAAGCGTCCTCGGTCGAAGGCTACGCGGCGCAAGTTCAACACCCGGAGGGAATTAAACAGCGTCGAATCGCACGCGAAGGCATTAATGTCGGGCGATTTGTTCGCAGCGAACCGACGGAATTAACAGCGATTCGGTCCTCCAGCCACTTGGCGGAGGCGTCGGGCGCCGAAGAAGCGTCCCTTTCGCGAAAAGAGATAACTCGAAGCGTCCTTACCACGGAACGGAAGCAAAGAGTTTCTCGTCGAACGAAATCCGGCCGGAGTTTAGAGCGTCGTTAGCCCGTTGATTGCATTTCCTGGGAGATACTTTCGACGCTACGCGGTCTTTTCACGGTCGAAACCGTGAAGACTCCGAGAGAGTCGTTAGAAACGGTTCTCGACCATCGAGAAAAGTTCGAAGGATATCGACTTCGTGGAAACTGTCGAAAGGTGTTCCAGCGGGGACGCGAAAGTTGAATAAAAAATATAGATGAGGGTAATTGCGCGTATCGCACGTACCGGATCAATGGATACTCGCGATCGAGAGAGGTTGAGTTAAACGAACTGGAGGAAATCGGAAACCGGTGGACGCTGGTCCAGGAAACAACGAAATCGAAAATACGGAGTTAAATGAGACGCAATTTGGCAGATGTACGATTGCAGAATCGAGTAAAACGATCCACTGTGTAGACTTGGACGCGGATATAGCCATTTTGGAGGAACTGTGTCGGCTGAAACTAATTCCGGAGCATCGAGAAATGCTGGAACGCACCGGGGACGTAAAACTTGTACAGACACGTTAAATCGACTGGAAAATTAATAAAAACGAGATCTAAAGTTTTATCAGGCCCGTTTCAACATGTCGTTGCCGAAAAGGTAATCACTTTTAATATTCAACGCGAGAAAATGTGTTTAGTGGTTTTGTTTTGGGCTGTCTTAATTTCTCGTAAACTGAAAAAATGATAATCAATAGTCTGACGTTCGAGAAATTATATTTAACTGAAATTGCCAATTTAAAATGTTTCCATGAGCCACGCGTTTATCCGTTACTAAAATTAGAATTTTTTAGAATTTGAATTCACGAAAAATTCGTTGCTTTAATATCTTCACGACGGATGTGCACGCTTTGTAATCAACAGAACTGAAATTGCCAATTTAGAATATTTCCGTGCTCTACATTTTTATCTGTTATTAAAATCGGAAGGTTTATCGTCCCGTGCTATGTTTGCGAACAATTGCAATTTGATTTTAGCGAAGAACGGCATTCTATGCTGGGCTATCAGCATGTTAATTACGCGAAGGTGATTAAAGGAAACGATGTTTGCGAAGATATTGAAAACAACAACAAAGACGACGCTTTCGATAAAAATGACGCGAAGCAGTATTCATCGAACGCGAAGGGCGTATTTGCGCAGGTGAGAGTAACAATAATTTAATAAATTTAATAAATTTACCTTTCATAAAATTTACATTTAAAAAAATGATTTTTTATTTAGAAAATAACCCTTTTTCCACCCTCTGATCGATTTTTTGAAGTTGGTAAACAACTATGAAAGTTCTTGCACAGTCTCTCCCCTCCAATTGAAAAAATTCTGTATTCTTCATTCGTTTGACCACTTATTTATTGATTATTCGGACAGACTGTCCGTTTATGGTCGCTTCGACACTCCCCTAACGAGTCCGTGCCAACCGAGATCGCTATAGTCGACGCGATTTCGCGGATAGCACGCTGGAACTTGAGTTGTCCGGGTCAGTGCATCGGATAACTCACGCAGCGTGTAATCGATATAGCTTGTTGACATAAATGACCTCATCAATAACGTCACGAATATCAACAAACAGTTTGCTTCCTTTTTACGAGAAGAATTGAATGCTTCCCGTTTATACGCCACTCCAACCAATCAGAACGACCAAGCATATTCGATATTTTGAAAAGTTATCGCTGCGAAAGATATGCGATTCGATATAAAATTTCAGATCATACTCGCGATTTTGATGTTTAAATGGCATCGTTCGTATTTAGATCGATTATTGCGCGAGGGATCGAAAAAAAGGAATATCGTGCAAGATATTGAAATAAACCAAAGGCAAAAGATGATATTTCTAGTTTATAAAATATCAACTTGACAAATAATAAAATATCAACTTGATCAGCAGAGGGTGATTTTATATTTAAAGAAAATATAACCTAAACTGAAGAATACATTTTGTTCGTAGGATATTTAATTTTCGAGAATATCGAACTTTAGCTTGACTTGTTTTCCCCATTTAATAAATTCACATTTTTATGTTAACAAATAATGATAGTGTTTATGATTCGCCTTCGGTTACTGCTATATTCGTGCATAATTTTTTATTCGTTATCGTTTACATAGACAAGTGGCACAGATAATGGAGAGTAGATTAACTAATTATAACTTCGATGTTTTTTAAGACCGTAAACTAGAACTCATGAATTTTTGAAAATAGAAAATATTGTCTGTAGGCAATGAAAAGAATATTTGAGAATTATTGTTTACATTTAATCACTGTTATATCATTGCATATAAATTAAATTGCACAAAAAACTATTGAAACGCTTTTTTATTTTATTTCGTGCAATTGGATTTTTAAATTCAATAATTTAGGTTCATAGAAATTGGTCTATGGAATTCTTTTTTAAATTATGCACTTTGCAGATTTTTAAAATGGTCACATTCGTGCAATGTACCGATAATGTATTTGTAGTTTATGGTATCCGGGGCCATTTTGCTGCTGGCGGCTGGTGGAGGAATGCCAATTGGTTACAGTGCCGTTCTTTTGCCACAATTGGCCGAAGACAATGGCACAATGCACGCGGATCAGGAACTTGGATCCTGGATAGGTATGTACACAGTTGGAAATCAATTTCTGCCACAATGGAATTGTGCTTAGGCCATTTTAACGTTATTACAAATCGTAATTTTTCTCCTCCTTAATGAATCGTAGTCCAAATGTTATTTGAATCGAAAGAAAATAAATGGTAGGCCAAATTTCAGGAAATCTGCACCACGAAACGATCAATTCGTACACGGAATGAAATTTAAAAAATAGAGAATTTCTCTATCATGAGGTAATATGTTAAATTATTTCGTAAAATTCTTTGCTAACAGTTCTTTGTGATAATTTCAATGTTTCACAAATCTATATACGAGTCTATATTTAAATAGAAAATTTGACAATAGAAGTTGAAATTAAATTACTCAAGAAGCCCCATTGAGTTTTTTTTTCTCCAAAATTATGAATTATTCACACTGAATTAGGGAGTCTAACAATATTATGCAAGCAGCTTGTAATCTTCAAGGTATTTTCTGGTATTTATAATACTAAACAATTTCGAAGAACGATAAATAAATGTGCGATAAATAAAATCATATGCAGCACAATCGTACTAGTTTCATATGTACATATACTCAAAAACAATTTCTAAAAAACATACATTGCAATAATCTTGCAAGTTTTAAAAATATAACGATCACACCAAAAATAATTATCAAGCAATAAAAATAATTAAATTCTTGGTCAGTCCAATATTTATTCCATATGTTAAAAAATTCTTTTAATGAAAAATTGTCGAAAAACATCGAAGAGTTAAATAGATACGTATCTGGACTTTGTAGTAAATAAATTAATTATATCTTTCTCAAAATTATTTTACTCGACAATAAAAGTTCCTCAGAAATAGAATTTTTACACTCGACGATGCTACGAGGTTCAATTAATTCCGAATTAACAATAATATTCCAGGAAGTTCGATAAAAATTTCAAATATTCATTGAACATACAGTAGTCCCGCGCTATATGACGAAAAATCAGCCCCCCAAGTTGTCACTCGGAGAGAACCTGAGTCGAATTCCATTTCTATAGATGTCCTTCACGAATTTAGCAATAAAAAATTCAAAATACAGGCACAAATACGTATTTTTCTATTTTGAAAAGTAGACTTTATCCTACCACTCAATTATTCTTCCATACTTCGTACCAAACTTACCTGTTCGATCCAGTGATTCTACGCAACTTTACCAAATTAATTCCAGCATGACATGTCAGAAAATCCGACGAAGTATCGAATTTTCTTTTCAAAAGGAAAATTCCCCGGTTCACGTAACTCGCGTTTAAAGTGGTTGGAAGAAAGTTCAAGAATCAGCTAGCAGGTTCAAGGGTGCTTTGCAATCATCGTAGTGCAGATTACTGCTGAGACCGTCTAGCTATTTGCAGTGCGGCACGTGTTGTGATTGACCTACATACCGTCGATTGGGTAATTTTTATCAATGAGAGTCTCGGCCAAGTGTAATCGCCAAGGATTTCACCTTGTCATTGAGAGATCTTTTTTAAGTGGTACATACACCCTCGCGGGCCAATCGCGGTGTATTACGCGATTAAATTCTATGGGGAACGATATCACTTTTACTCCAACCCGAAAGCTTTTGGGTAATCACCATTCCAATCAAATTGAAATATTTTTTAATTTTTTTTTTAAACAGTTAGCGTACCATGTCGAAGTCACGAATTTTTATTGTTTATTTTGCAGCCTCCGTTCACAGTTTAGCCACGCCCGTGGGATCGTTACTGTCCGGTCCACTTTTGGACGCCATCGGAAGACGTTCCTCTTTACAGTTGTCGTCCGTGCCATTATGTGCCGGGTGGATCGTTATGGGATTCTCCAACAACATAACCTGGCTCTTAATAGGGAGACTCGTACTGGGGTTCGCTGTTGGTCTCATGTCCGTGCCAGCTCAGGTACGACAGAAAATCGACGTCCAGTTTCTTGGACAAGACTTTCGATAATTGGAACCATTTTTATTTAACTAGGAAACGTCTCGTCAGTTTCATTTTTTAATAAGAATTTTTCCAAATATTTTCAACGAACCCTAATATTTATACAATTTTCACAGAGAATATAAAACATTTCCATTTTTCAAATTACTAAATATCGAAACCATAATTAAAGTCGTGATTTGCTTTAACTTTTCCAGTTCGTTTAAAAATAATTCCACCGCTATAATAAATTAATTTCCCGTCGTTGAATGGCTCGTATCAATCGTGTGACGTTTCGATCGTTTTATGACGATTATAAATTTAGGTTTGGATTTAATTTTAATCTTGAGATAGGTGCACATTGTTTTTACTAAAGAATAAGTTTCGATCTCGTCAAAAGTCTTATTTTTTAATAAGAATTCTTCAAAATATTTCCAACGAACTTTCCTAATATTTATACAATTTTCACAGTGAATATAAAATATTTCCATTTATCAAATTACACCAAATATCGAGGCCATAATTAAACTTCGAAACCGCCATTTGCAAATTAATAGAGAATATACTTCGTGACTTGCTTTAACTTTTCCAGTTCGTTTAAAAATAATTCCATCGCTATAATAAATTAATTTTCCGTCGTTGAATGGCTCGTATCAATCGTGTGACGTTTCGATCGTTTAATGACGATTGTAAATGTAGGTTTGGATTTAATTTTAATCTCGAGATAGGTGCACGTTGTTTTTACCGAAGAATAAGTTAGGAAATTGATTTCGATAGGTATTGTTGGGCGAAATGGCCGACCCGAGGCTCCGTGGATTTCTAACGGGTGGCTCGCTCACTTTTTATTGTCTCGGTATCCTCCTGGTATACGCCCTCGGAGCCTCGTTTACTTGGGACGTGGTAGCCTTCTGCGGTACTGTACTTCCGGTTCTGGGGCTGATTGCGTTAACCATGATCCCTGAAAGTCCCGTTTGGCTCGTGAGGCGAAAGAAACACGGCAAGGCCAGGAAAGCTTTGCTGTGGCTAAGGGGAGGCAACATGGAACAGGTACTCTGCCTACAATAATTACTATTTCTATTAAAAAACAAATAAACTTCATCATTCTTCCTATCTAAAAACTCTTCAGAATTCAACGTTTGCTGTAAATTTTCTTTAAAAAAAATTAAAAATATAACAAATATCATATTAGAAACAAATAAAAACACTAAACAGTGTAAATATGGCAATAGTTTTTAAATTTTTAATTTTACTGTAATGCTTTACATTGACTTACCTTATTTTCTCGTCCCGCTTGAATCTAATCGTAAGCAGAGATATTTGACAAACAGAATGACAAAAAGATATTTCAGGCCACGAGAACTGACGAGAAGTTACGAGGAATATTTCATTTTGTAGGTTAATGTTGAATTAGCAGCGTTAGAGGCTCGAGCGAAAACGGATTCGGCACGAAAGGTGAAGAATTTGTCGTGGCTCGAGCAGGTTTCTTCAGCGATCTCCACGATCGTTGATCCCAGCATTTTGAAACCCTTGACGATCATCAATGTCTTCAACATTCTTCAACTCGTCAGTGGAACCTACATCGTCGTATTCTACGCGGTTGACATCGTCAACGACATTGGTGAAGACAGTTCTTAGATATGAAATTAATAAATGCACAATATTCCCTCGCTTATTGATGGGGAATTGGGCCTGGATTGATTCCTGCTCCTTCAATTCATTCATTCGTTCACTCAATATTCCATACTTTTTCAAATAGATCAAATAGAAACTTTTTCAAAGTTTCGTAAAATTCGAAATATTATTTCAGCCTTATTCTTTGAATTTCTAACAAAACATAGTTGCACACCACTCTGTATAATAAACAAGCAGATATGGGAGTCTGTGCGTTAATCGAGGGAACGATTCGATCAGTTAGCGAGGGAATACTGCACCAAAGTAAACAGTTGATCGTATATCATTTCAAGCATACGATTCTTTTCTTTTTCTCGTGTATAGGGGGTGACACCATAAACAGCTATTTAGCGGCAGTATGCACAGCAGTTATCAGAACTGTATTCAGCTTCATAGCGAGCCTGCTATTATTGAAACTGGGCAGAAGATGCCTGGGGATGTTATCGGCCTTCGGAAGTGCCGCGGCCTCATTAGTCATCGCAGGATACATGATATTCAAGAACGAATCGTCTTCTCTCGACGTAAGTTCCCACGTACAGCCTAAAATACAAAAACAGTGTTAATATAAAATATAGTTAATATAGAAGTTATACGATGAAATTCTTTTTTCAAATACCTGTACAGTAGTCCCGCGTTTTATGACAAAAAATCGGGTCCACCAGATGTCGAACTCTATTTTTAAAGGTTTCTGTTCTTCACGAAAGACGTAAAATAATTTGAGCATCGAAAACGTAAAATGGCCGTATGGTTCGAATTATAATTCCTGCCTCACCAGTGTCTTATTCGTGTTTAATTGAAATAAATTGGACAAAGAGTCGAAAGTAGTCCCAATTTAAGCAATTTCGACATTTCTTTCAATGTTAAATTGTTATATTTTAGGTTTACGTTGTTGGAATCTGTTTGCTGATATACGTGGGAGCAAACACTATGGGACTGATGATACTTCCGCCATTGATGATCGCCGAGTTGCTTCCGCAAAGGGCACGCGGTATCGGCGGTGGATTCACCTTCTTTCTTTTCAATCTGCTCATCTTTTTCGTCACGAAGGTCTTCCCCGTGGTACGTTTATGCAATTTCCTTTAATTTAACAACCGAATCTGTTCGGCAGAGCTGTTCGAAAATCTTACCATTTCGTTATTCTCAGAGATCCTTGAAGCTCTTTACGACTTTTACTGCTTGGGATCTCGTTCTTAGTACCGTTCAAGGCTTCGCGGTGCTTATTATGTCCTTTTAGAAAAGGACACATCGCTGATACTGTTTTAATGTGCCCCCAGAGGTTTCTTTATAGCTTAAAGCTAACCACAATGGTGGTTAAATGGCGAACGCCATTTCCTGGGGGGCGTAAAACCTGAGGACGTTTCTCCTGAAAGCCTCGAACGGGATGTATTACTTTCAATTGTCACCCCTTTGTTTATTATTCAGACATTTATGCAGGAGTTTTGTTTATTATAACCATCTAATTAATGGCTGATCGATTACTTAACGAAAATTAACAAATACATCGGGATATGAAAGGACAATATTTTCGTAAACATTTCTAACGTGTTTTAAGTTTATTATCAAATAAGATTGAGAAGTTTATTCGATTCTTTTACAGATTTATTTAAAATATTTTCTAAATTTCTACAAGTGACGAATACATATCAGAAATAATTGGTATCAAGTCTTGAAATTAGAATATAGTATTTGTGCAAGGTGTTTATAAATTTACTACGAATTTTATCGACTTGAAAAAATTTTAGTTACATTAGTTTTTATTCACAAAATATTACCCAAGGAAATATGATAATTATACAGTTTTTTTATTTATTCGTGAAAAAGGTGAACGACATTGTGGGGATTACTGGAATTTTCACAATTTTTGGCGTTGGCGCGCTTCTGGAAGCCATATTTATTTACGTTGCTGTACCGGAAACGAAGAAGAGCACATTAGAAGAAATCGAAGACTATTTTCAGGTAAATACCCTAATCGTATATTCTGTTTGTCAATTAAATATTATAAATATATTAATGACCATATTACATAAGATTTCATAACGAAAAGAAAATCTCTGAATCAGACAAGTTTGACAATAACACATTGATCGACATTAGAAAATTTTCTGTTTCCACAATTTATCATTTCATAATTTTATATTTTTTCTTGCAGCAAGACAATGTACTTTGGATAACACGATTAAGAGAAAGGAGAAGAGACGAGCCATTTATTACAAACAACCCTTAAATTTGCGCGTCGCTTGAATGAAAGATTCGAATGTGTATAATTGTGATCGAACGAACGTTAACATAATTTTATATCGTCTAAGCAGTATATAATATTCGCTTAACCATGTCATATAAGTACATAGTAACTAATTTATTTTAAGGTAATTCAATTGTATTATAAAAAAGAATTGTATAAAGCGCATCAAATATGATAATTATTATTCTAAGACATTCTGTGCTTCTCTTCATTATCCTCAGCGGGTAATATCCTTTACAAACGATCGATCCTATCCAAAAATATTTGTGGTGGTTAAAAATAAAATTTTGTAGATACTCGAAAAAAATCTGTTCTGAAATTTATTTGCAAATTAATATCAAAATTTCTTACCGTAAATTCAATTTCATTTTACATTTAAAAATCTTCTGTCTTTACCAACTATCACGAAATAGCGATAGAAGTATGTTAGAAAGAAAAGAGCGCGAATAAATGAAATATTTCATGTTCTGCTGTATAATAGTTCTATTTTGTTCATCGTTGACTTTACAAGGGGGACGAGGAGGAAACAGAATGAAGGAACTCGCACGCCTAAACTGTAAAACACTTTTGCATTTTACTCCTTTTACTCCGTAGAAACGTAATTGTATTCGTTAAACTGTAATATCTACATAAATACACCACGAATAGTTTTCTTTTTTTAGATGCACATTGTCTTGGCGATCGCGATGACAAAACGCCCGTGGATTTCTCTGTATCAGATACAATCGTACACTCCTTCGAAAATGCAAACAAAGGAGAAACATCGTCGCTTCTTGCATACCTATACACACTGTATAATATTTATATGTACAACTACTTCATGCAATTCAGCTCGAAGTTCGTGATGCAACTGTTATTACACATTTTCACGAGGAAATCACTGTTACGCGTTCGATCGTTCGCGGTTCCGCTTCAGCGTAAAATTCCCCTCTTCTTACAGGCTTATAAATTAATATGTACAATATCGTTGTTCGAACAAATCGCTCCGGATTATGTTTCTGACCGATAAAAATTGCACAACAATAAATTATAATCGTACGAAATTGTACAAGTTCGAAGAACATGGAAATTATTCGAAATTGCTCGAGAATAATTATAATAAATTGTATCCTTCTCTATGGATGTGACATCTTTAAATTAATCATGTCAGACGTGTTCTATAAATAAACGCTGAGAGCGTTGAATTTTGGAAACTTGAGAATCACGATTTCTTTGTTCATTTAATCACTTTCATGTAAAACTATTGTACAACAATCGACACTCGTCGACGTTCTTCGTAGATTTCAAACAAATATTTAACATCTCTTTCAGCCACTTCGGACGTTTTGATTTTTCAACTTAAATCACCAAAAACCGATCGCGTGTTAAAAACGGGAATCGGTGAATTTGTATAATTCGTCCAAAATTTTAGCGACTTTCTGTATGCTGACAGTTTGGAACGTGTTTGTAAAATTTTCGAAGATCATTCGATGAGGCAGAAAGTTATTCCACGGACCATAGTTTGGCTAGAATGCGCTGGCAGAAATTTTGGCACGATTGCAATAATGTTCATCGTTGTTGAACTTGCTGGCTGGCCAAAATTTATGCCGTCGCGGTTCGCTTTTCGTCGTCGAATGTGAACACAGTTTCGTGTGATCGCGTTTAAGTTCTAGTTAAAAATTAATGTACAACGATCGCGACCCTACGCTAAAGACTAAAGTGAATGAAACGGCGCGAAAGAAGAATGACCTCGGCGAATGACTGACAAATACGAACGGAATAAAAAATATATTACACGACGAAATAATTGTTTTACCAACCTACGAGCAACGCGATGAAGTTTACAACGGGGACGTTCGTTGCTCTCGTTTCATCAATCAATGTCTGTCTTCGTTTCAGTGCAAGAGCCTTTGTTTAATCAAGCAGCTTCTCTGTAGTAAACTTTCAGTGTTCGTGAAACTCTAAAAATCATTCTCGAATATCTCTCGCTATCGAAGACCAAGAAATCGTATTAAAATGAATTTTTTAAACAAACGTTCTCCGAGGAAGGATTGCTTAGAAATATATATAAAAAAAGGGTTCGACGTAAATTCGAGCCTCGGTTTAAAGCTAGAGCGTATGTACAATTGTACAGTAGGATTGTTTTTTGTACAGGCAGCGATGGCGTACAGCTATGATCGATTAAACAAAACGTACTCTTGCTTCGAGAATGTGCAAAACGACGACGTCGAAGGGCTTTCCAGCCTGGTGGGGTTGGAAGATTTATTCGAAGGTTAAAATTAGATCTTCACCCTCTAATCTCATACCCTGAGTGACCTCCAACGACTTGACCTTTCCTGCTTTCGGCGCCTGCACCACCATTTCCATTTTCATCGCCGACAAAACCACCAAAGGCGCCCCTTTTTCGACGCTGTCGCCTACTTTCACTCTTATGTCGATCACAGTACCGGGCATCGGTGCTCCAACTTGGTTCTTGTCACCCTTGGCAGCCTTCGGGTGAACGTGGAGCTCCTGATTTGAAAAATAATACGAAATTAGATTCGTAGAATATTTTTTAAATCATGAAACTCTAACGACACAGTTAAAAATACGATCAGAGGCATGAAATATCAAGAATTATTTTGAAATAGGTATTTCACAGAATGAAGGTTTATTTAAATGAAAATGAACACTTCTTTGCTATTTGTCTGGTAAATTCGATGCAAAATTTAAAGTAAATAGCTTCCAACTTTCTGTTCCACTACAATTCCCACTTCAATCTCGTTTTTTAATAACTAGCCTGCGGATGTTTATGCATTTATGGGGAATTTTAATTCTCAAGAAACTACAGAATGCACTTAATATGCAAAAATATAAGAATTACTTAAAGTAAAATACGAATTATTATATTTAAGGGTTGAGACAATCATCTGCAAAGCTCCCATTTTATTAATTCTATTAATAAAAATATGAATTTGCATAAAGATCCGCAGTCTATTAATAACCAATGCCATCTTGGGGCTCTAAAAATGGCGTCTGATGAATATTTTGTCGTTTAACGTCCTCCTTTGACCTCTTTGTTTAATCACGATAGAGTGTGATAATCATAATCGTACCTTGACAGCTTCCTTGTCCCTGATGAACACAGATCTGAGCTGTCCGTTCATCTCGAAGAAGACCTCGCGTTCTCCCTGTGGCGTCAAGTCTTCAGCGACAGCCAGCGTCTTGAAAGCCAAGGTTTTTCCCTTCGCGATGGTCACGTCGAACTCCTCGCCGACCTTTGGCCCCGTCAAGAAGAACCTGGTCTCCAGCTTGTCCACCGGTCCGAACTCATCTTTGAAGGTCAAGTAATCGTTCGTCACTTCCGGGTAGAGAGCCGCCGACATCACGTCTTTGTTCGTGATATGAGGGTAGGATTCTTGTAATTTTGTTTTCAAAGCGCCGAAATCCAGCGGGGCCAGAGTCGCGCCTGGCCTTCCCTTTATTCTTGGCATGTCTTTCAGCACCTTCGATCTGCAACGGAATATTTGTTAATTTTATTTGTTTTCCCGTCAAAAGTAATCTAAAACATTTGTAAACGAGTGCTGACAAATTAGATGACACGAAAACTTAGAAACTTAGGTTCTTTTAAACTTTATGCGATTTTCTGGAGACTTTGTGAGTGACAATAGTCCTTTCATGTGTTTATTTGATTTTCTGTTCATTCATATATCTTTAAATCTAGAATACCATGAGAAAATATGAGCCATTAAAATGACTCAAAATGAGTCAAAATAAAAGTAAAATGGGACACAAAATTTTTATTAAGTTCACCCTTGGTACTCGTACTGTCTCTGAATTTTTTTACATTTTTTTACTCAATAGGTCAAGAGAAATTGTACAAAAACATGATTTTCGTTTTCACCCCATTACTACCCCCACGGTCGAGATTTCAAGTTAAAAATTTGCACACAGGGGTTTTTTTTTGCTATCGAATGACCCGTGGCTCGTTCCATTCGGTTTGGGGGCACATTTGACCCCCTTATTCGGCTATACCCTTTAATAGATTTTTTTTGGATCCACTGCTATCTCCAATCTTAGCATACAAAGATTAAATTCCCCTGGTCTTAACATCTTAGCATCAAAATTATTCGATCATCATTCCAGTATCAATAATTTTCTTCTAATTTGATGGATCATTTAATAAATCAAAACATTTTCTTCCCAAACTCGCCAAAGTGCAATTGTTTCCCAAAAGTTCGATTATTCTAGGGCCAAATAGCGTAGATATGATGAAATTAAAGTACCTAAGGGGTTCAGGGAATCCTCCATAAGGTTCACCGATGGCGCCCTGCAGGAACTCGACGACCGATTTCGGGAAAGACAATTCCTCAGCCTTGTTTAAAACATCCTCGGCTGTCAGTTTATTCTGAACCATAAACTGGGCAAAATCTCCGACAACCTTCGAGCTTGGTGTCACTTTAATGATGTCCCCGAGCAACAAATTGGCCTCTCTGTACGCTTTCTTAACGTCCTCGAAGAATTCTCCCAAACCGAGGGAATAGGCCTGGAATTGCAAGTTCGTGTACTGGCCTCCGGGGATTTCGTTCAAATAGACGTCCGCGTTTCCGGATTTCATCGTTGTGGTGCACTCGAAGGGCGCGTACAGAGTTCTGGTCTGCTCCCAATACGCGGAGTATTCAGAAACATCGCTGAGATCAAACTTCGTGTCGAGTGGCGTTCCTGAAATTCGTGGAAACATTGTTGGATCTTATGTAGGAATTATCATGGATCGAACGAGTGTCTATTTGTATACAGGGTGTTCCGGCCACTTCGACAATTATCTCTACAGTTATACAAATTCAAATGCAAAGGCGTCAGAAACACCGTTTGGCCAAAACAGATATGCATAAAACCACAGAAATAGTATTAATACTTGCAAAGTTTTGAATACCATTAGGTACACTAGTGCTCCATCGAACTATAGATTATTTTTATATGTTACGTTATAATTTGAAGGAAAAAATTGGAGGATGTCCCCCAGCCAAGGAAGAAGAGTATTGAATTTATTATTTAACTACTTATAAGATTGCAACGAATATTTTAAATACCCTTACCGATAAGAGACGCAACCACAGCACCCATGGAAGGTTGACTGGTCATTCCAGACATACTGTCAACGGCTACGTCAACAACGTCTGCTCCGCTCTCAGCGCAAGCTAACATGGACGTCACGCCAGCGCCAGCGGTGTCGTGGGTGTGAATGTGCAGTGGTACATCAGGATGCTTCTGCCTGATCGCGTCGATGAGCAACCTGGCGGCTTTGGGCTTCAAAAGACCCGCCATATCTTTGATCGACAGAACGTGGGTTCCGGCCTTCACCAGCTCGTCCGCCAAGTCCGTGTAATACTTCAGGTTGTATTTAGTCTTGTTTGGGTCACTCACGTCCCCCGTGTACGAAATAGCGGCCTCGATTATACCACCAGCCTTACCAACTGCATCCATTCCTAAAAAGATTCGCAATTTCACGTTATGTCTCAATCTCTATCCAGCAGAGGAACGAAGGATCCCACAGGTCGAAATAGCTGACAGAGAATCGTGAAATTCGCCAAGCTAGCAACACTATAGCTTAGGGAAGCCTACTAAGTCTGGGGAGCAAACAATATCATTTGAATTTTTTTATTTTAAGTTTGAAAACTTGGCAATTTTATAGAATCTTGTAACGAACTCGAGGAGGCTTGAAATCTCTACTATGAAAGCTATGAATCAACGAACGTATCCTTCCAAACCATACAATTTCTAAAGATTGTTTTCGTCTTCTATTGCTTCAGAGAAACTTCACTAATGGTTTAGTGATCAAGTAAATAACCCAGACACTAAAGAATGAATTTCTATAATAGCCAAAGCTTTATCAGAGTCTTGGAACGTATTTTTTGATGATATGATACTCACACTATTTACAGGAAAGAAACAATCGCTTACCAAGGATCAAATTGGGCAGATAATTCAACGAGTCGAACACTCTGAAGACGTCCATCCCCGTCTGCACAGCCAGCTCGCAGAATTTGAACACAACGTTGTCCGGATAGTTGGTGTACCCTACAGCGTTCGCGCCTCTGAGGAGCATCTGGAACGGGATATTGGGTATGGCTTTTCTCATCTCCTCCAATCGTTCCCACGGGCACTCGTGCAGGAATCTCAGGGCTACGTCGAAGGTAGCTCCGCCCCAGTTCTCCAAAGAGTAAAGACTGTTGAACTTCTGGGCGACGAAGGGCGAGATCGTCAGAAGATCGTACGATCTCACGCGAGTCGCCAAAAGTGACTGATGGGCGTCACGGAAGGTGGTGTCCATCAGGAGCAATCCTTTGTGCTGCCTAATGGCCTTGGCGAACGCTTCCGGCCCCTGTTCCTTGTAGATGTGACGAAACCCTTTCGGTGGTTCCAAAATGTCTGAAAAATTTTGTTTACGATTCGTTTGAAACGTAGCCTCGAGGGAATTGCAGTTTCCACGTGCAGTTTGTTAGTAAGCTTGCACGTTGTCTGAAAAAAGAATTTTGACAGAGATCGATCAAAGAGAGAATCCTGAAGGCGAAACGTTTCGTTTTCATGTTTCTTTCGTTAACCCCTTGCTATAAAATAATGTGTCTGACTTGTCACAAGTTCTTGATGTCAAGTTTCAGGATTTTGAGGCCACTCACTCGTCATCAAGCCTCATAAATTAAAAGAATTTTTAATAAAACAAATCTATTCTTTTTCGTGATCATTCCTTGCACGAACAAGTTTAAATAAAATTAAATAGTATATGTTTGAAAAATTATTTGGAATTGAATCGTAAGTCAAGGGGTTAATGATCACCTACGATCGAAGCAGTAACAATTACAGTTAAAGCATTTGTGGTTAGTTTGTATTGAACAAGTGCAATTTAAAAGCTTCGTAATTTATAGTCACGTTAACTCTAATTAGCGAGTTGGCTCTGCATCGTAGGATTTCTCGTCTCGTCTCTTTGATTGCGAGTGAAATCGATCTTTTCTTGTATAAACAGAGTTGGATTAAGGTACTTTCAGGGTTAATTATTTTAAATTGTACATTTGAAAAGGGGATGTTTATTTTAATCGATATCTTCGATTATTTGACAGATATGGTGAGGAAGATCGGGAAAGAATATTCTGTTGATGGAAAATATCTTTTGGATTTATATTTTACGATTTCAAGGTCGTCATTTTGAACGAAAGAAAAAAACAAATTCTACTAAATTAACAAATTTACAACAAATTAACAAATTCTAAATTTGTCGACATTAACACAAATTAATATTCTGAAATTAAATTTATTACAATAGAAAATTTAAATAAGAAATTTGTCGACATTAACACAAATTAATATTCTGAAATTAAATTTATTACAATAGAAAATTTCAATAAGAAATTTACTTTATTAAAACATCACTTGCCCAATAAGTAAATATTCCAAAAGAGAGAAAATTGTTTTTTAACAATTAACGCAATGATACAATAAGAAAATTAATTTGCTTGAATATTTTCCTCAGAAATTCTTTCCTGCCATGGAAAACGAATATTTAAGGTGAACACCCTGTACATACCAAGGGTCTATGAACCCTTAATCCAGCCCTTTGTATAAATAACAGTGGAATGATCGCATAAAATAAATTCCGTGCATTAAACAATACCATGCTGAAGTTGGATGCTGAAAATACGAAATACTAATTCGTTTCTTATCTAGTTTCAGAGCCATAAAATACACATAAATGGAAACAAAAAATACAAACATTTAATTGTGGAACGTATCAAAGTGTGTATTAAATAGAAACGGGATTTCACTGTTAGAAACAATACTATATTTCCTACACAGCCATTTTCCCTTACTGACACTTTTATCATACTCTTGCTGTTTGATTCCTGAAAAATATTGTTACCTACCAGGTATATATTCTTAGAAAGTTCTACGTTCTAGCTAAAAATAGTTCGAATATTCGTCGATCATTATCGTACACTACGTTTATTTGTATTTTTTTAATTTCTCTTTAAAGTCTATTCAACCCTTTCACTATTCGGTGACAGAAGTTAATAATAAATATTCTATTTAACTAACACAGTTTAAACTTTAATCGTGCAAATCATGCTATTAGAGTATACTTACAATCAGTAAGTATAATTTCGAGGAATTTAAATTTTTATTTTCTTCTTCTTTTAAGTCTAATTTCGATTGCTATTTTTACTTTTGAAACCGAAGTAAATTCTCTAAACAGTTCAAGTAATTAGTTTCTTTTATTTCACGAATATTTCCAATAGTTATTTAATTTTCTCAAAGTCATTCGTGAAATAAATTAACTTCGTTTAAAAATCACTCATGCAAAGAATAATAAATTTATCCTGACGAAGTTACGTTTCATTTAACAAATTGGATATCAATTATGAATTGTAAATTATGAGTCGTTTGAAAGAAAATCAAATTAAAGCCAATAAAACGGATTGAAATTCACGAATCGATATCCCATTCTCGCTGTATTTTAAATTACAACCTGGCACCGCAGAAATGAAAATATAATCGCTTAAAACGAAGTAAAAATAAAACAATAAATACAATATAAGCGTACCTGGCAAGTCCGCGTCACTGTTCTCTCCTGCAGCTGCAAGCTTAGCAAAGTCTAAAAAAAAATTGCCAAACGAAAAGATAAAAGCATGCGATAAACAATAAGATATAATTACCAGAGGTCATTAATATCTATGAAAAAAAAAATAGAAAAAAAATATGAAACATAAAGGAAATTATTCAACAACAGAGAATGAGGGATGGAAATATTAAAACACTTTCAAATAGAACCCACTAGTCATTAATAAACACAAAGGAGCGATTTTACCATAACAAATATTCGAATGTTGTCCGAATAAAAACATAGAAACACGCTATGTAAAAACGTGAAAATACCATGCTATGTGATAAAAAATGAATTTTTTTATGATCGTGTAGAAATAATGAAAGTAGTGCGCGTTTAGTGCAGCGACGGTGTATCGAATTTTAATACTACAAAATAGAGCGTAACATAAAATTTCTAATAGTGTGATCCCATCGCAATTATTCTTTTACCCAACATAGAAGCGTGAAAAATTGTTTTACCGTGCTCATACTAATTCCGTTTTCGCTGAAAAATAAAAATTTACCATTTTCTACGAACAATAATAATTATAAGAAATTTTTAATAAAACGTAACTTAAAGTAATTTAATGCAAATTCGAATTTTTTTATTGAATTTTAATATTAATGTTGTAATTGGAGAATGAAATTTTGAGGAAAATTACGAATAAACGATGTTTGTAAGAGACTGGACGCAGCCACCGATAGCATAGGCACCCAATGACAAATAGAAAAAGAGAATCGAACCCATTTATTTGCTAAATTGATCAAGCAGTCCTCCCACTTCACAATGGTACCCAAACGTCACTTTCGTCGCGAGATCGGATAAGGCGTTCGAGACGCGATTCAGACGCGAGTAAATGTGATTTGAGGAGAGATTGTTCGTGATCGAAGCCTCGATACTGTACCTCTGGCGATCTGGGGAATGTGTGGCTTGATCTCGGCCGGTTTGAGGTTCGTCGCCAATGGCGTGCTGGGGCCGTTTACGAGAACGGTACCCAGGTAGTTCAGCAATTTCTGCGCACGATTCTGACTCTGCTGGAACTGAAAGAGCTGCGGGTTCTCGTCGATGAAATACGTGTCGACGTTCCCGTTGAGGAACTTCTGGTTCTCCAACACGTTCAGCAAGAATGGAATATTCGTTTTCACCCCTCGAACACGAAACTCGCGCAGGGCACGATTCATTTTCGCGCAGGACGATTGCAGATCGCCAGCGTGTGCTATCACCTGGGAACGAAAATTATTTTTCGTGTCACACGATGCTTCATCGACTGGAAAAAATCTTTAAGTACAGAGTCTAATCGAGGAGTTTGGGAATTTGGTAATTTGGCAGGACGATATTTCTTCTGGGGATACTTTTGGACACTTTTAGGAATATCTTTTGTGTAATATTGATTGCAACTTGTACTACAATCGATTTACTGACTCGTTTCATTATTATATTTCGAATCGATAATTGAACTTTAAAGCGTTGCCATTATTTTAATTATTGATTTTTTTTTATAACTCATACTAGAATTAATTTAATATTTTATGCGTCTTATACATATATTTCTTCGATTAGCAAAAGGGATAAGAAATTCTATTTCATTTTTCGTTTCGAACATGCAGAATAAATAAGATGCTTTTCTTTACGACACTTTGAAATACACAAAGTGGCCAATTTTGATTATTTTACTTTGAAAAAATGATAGATAGAAACCCGAAAATATAATAGACGAGTTTTACGATAGAATATTTCCTCGATTACAGGCGTTTGCCATTATTAAAAATTGAAGAAGTAGATTTCGATGAGATAAAAGAACGAAAAGGAAGAAAATTTACTAAATAAATTATCCTTGTTCAGGCTATATTATAATATGAAATCTCAGTTACTCGTTGTAATCAAGATGGAGTATATAGTGAATTTGCTAGTTTACCTTCACGAGAAGAGAATCATAGTAGGGTGAAATAATGGCTCCAGCGAAGGCGGATGCGCTGTCCAATCGAATACCCATACCCTCGCCGGAACGGAACACTTCGATCCTTCCGGTGTCCGGTTGGAAGTTTTTCGCGGGATCCTCCGTGGTCACACGGCACTGTATGGCGAATCCTTGAGGAACTATCTTCTCCTGCGTCATGCCAAGCTCGGGCAAGGTCATACCTTCAGCAACTCGGATCTGAGATTGCACCAAGTCGATTCTGAACGAAATTATCTCGAATTAATCCATTGGTCTTTCACGTCGACCGTTGAAGAATCAGATTTTATCATTTCTGGCTTCCATTTTATTTTATGTACTCTCGACAAAGTTACTTATACACCTTGAGTCTCCCCCTTGTCGATTTTTCTTAAATATTTGTTTTTCATTTTTAATAATTTTGTTTGACGAGCTACGGAAAAGTTGTCTAATACTTTTCTGTAGGTACCCATGAGCTCTACTTCAGAAAAAAGTTGCATTGAAATATATTCATTATTGTAAGAGTTATGGCTGTTTGAAAATTGGACCATTTTTATGGGGTTTTTCTTACTTTGTGGGGTCAAGGATCAACTTTTCGAATATTTTTAGAATTTCTACATATTCTCCACCAAAATACGCGTTGTTTGCCGTTTGGAAAATTAAAATCGACCAATCCGTTCAGGAGTTATGACATTTTAAAGATTCGCCTCGGGGGACCATTTCAGGCCTCAGATTATATTTTCGGTAAGGAATTTTTTTCTCGAAAATGCGCAAAAATTCGAGGATACGTGTAATGACCAAAAATGATTGTAATCGACCCTTGCAGCCGAAAATAATTTTTTTAGAACGATTTGAAAAATTTTCTTTCCCCCCTAAAATTTCAGCACCTACTCGAATTTTTTTCTCGAAAATGCATAGGAATTCGGAAGTATGTGTAATGACCAAAAATGATTGTAATCGACCCCACAACCGAAAATAATTTTTCCAGAATGATTTGAAATTTTTTAATAACGTTTTAAGGAAGCCTCAGTCAAAAAATTGATATTCTTGATTTTCCTCTTATTTTGGCCTCTAGAATCACCCATTAAAATTTTTTCCAGGGTTGGCCAAACACCCTGTATACAAATGTAATTATTGCAAAAGAATGTACACTTAATTTCAACAAAGATCGAGAGATCCTTCGAGGTCTGTTTCCGGAAATCAAAAGTAGTTCTGTTTAAATTTAATTACCCGGTAATTTCTTCAGTCACTGTGTGTTCTACTTGAAGTCTAGCATTGACCTCAATGAAGTAGAAGTTTCCGGACTCGTCGGCCAAAAATTCTACGGTCCCAGCGTTCGAATAATTGACGTACTTCGCCAATTTTACCGCATAGTCAGTCATCCTATTCCTAGTTGTGGGATCCAACTTTGGCGCAGGGGCGATCTCAACGACCTAAAAGTGACACAGTTATCGATGATTCTTAGAATACGTTTCACGGTCGGTTGTTCGCCCAGCCAGAAGGAAGCTGGTTGTTCCAAATGATTTCGAGGGTTCCATTTTTCCTGACGTTTCGCGGTAATTCGACGCGTGCAGTTTCGTGTTGGAATTTTTTAATTACTTCATATTTTCTACCGGCGTGCAACGACGACCTCGTTTTGCGAGAACCATGCACTCGAAAGTAATTCTGACGATCGCGAGCAACGTTCGAAGGCTGGCTACTTGAAAAAGTGCGAAAAAATTTCCCGCGTTTACTTTTAATTGGTGTTTATTTCATTTTATTTTGATTTATTTTGTTATTTTTGAACGTGAATAACTTCAATGGAGTAATTCATACGTAATAGTAAAGAATGTATTATCCTATAGTTATTGAACAGTACAGAAATTTAACTTTACACGAGTGACGTTGACATATAAAAACTGACTTCTGTATTTTTTCTATTTCCTATCAGAGCTGATCTCTTCAAAAATTTTTTCAAATAATTTCAGGCATGTAATTTGTATTTAAACACACGTACAACGTAATTTATGTAACTGACAATGTCATGCAAGACATTTGTGTCGTTTGTCAAAAATTAAATACTAGTTACATTTAGTCTACATATCAAAAATTCTATGATGTAAGAAATTTGTTACTAATGACGAAGGAAAGTATTAACGAACAATTTTAAGAAAAAATACAGTAATACTTTAATAAACGTATAAATTATACTAATGTAAAGAGGATTGTCGTGTTTTGTGTTATAAAATAGAATCTTCATACCCATAAATATGTAATAAAATTTATGTTTGACATGCCAGATATTTGTATGTATTTAAAATATTTATTATCGATCCTATTAAAACTCGAGCATCGTGGATCTGTATAAAATATGCAGTGTACAAGGCTTTGTTCGGTTGAGTAATTAAGATTCGTCCAGGAGGAGTAATGGAAATGAACGAGTTATTGGCGCTTATTGGGTAATTTAAATGGAAAAAGTTGCTCTCGTCGAGAACTGACCTTTTGATGGCGACGTTGCACGGAACAATCACGTTCGTAAAGATGAACGACATTGCCAGCTTTGTCGCCCAATAACTGAACTTCTATATGCCTCGGTCTCTCAATGAATTTCTCAATGAACATGGCTCCGTTTCCGAAAGCCGCTGCTGCCTCCGACATGGCACGCTCGAACATTTCTTTCACTTCTTCCATTTGCTTGACGACTCTCATACCTGGGAAAAAATACATAAAACAGTTCTTGTCTCACGAAAAAATAATAATAGAATTTCTGAAAATACATCGATTGCCTGTGAGACAGTTTTCAAACCAGAAAAAGAATATACATATCGTGGAATAAAAAAAAGATAATTTTTATTAAGAGGTCTGGATTAGATCTTTGAATTTATCAGGAAAAAAAAGAAAATATTAAATCGTGGAATTAAAAAGATTTTTGAAATACTTTATCTGTATTAAGCTATTTATTTTTTGTGATTTAAAATTTCTAGAAACAATTTTAAATTGTATTTAAGAAATTAAAATGTATTAGTTCTACTCTGAGAAATCTACCAAAAATGTTTAAATTGAGGAATTCAAATTACGAGATTCAGAGAGAAATTCATTTCACTTAAAATATTCACTGTATGGAATTGTTATTAAAATATTCTATTATCGACCCCCATGACGTTGTTAAATAATAAATTCGGGTCGCAATTGGCGTCACAATGTCAAGGTTTAGAATTCATTACGAATTAGGCAGCTATTATAAATCAAACGAACGTGAAGAATTTTATAATCAAATTTTTCACATCGTATCGTGGAGGACTATTGAGAAATTTGTAAACGATAGAAAGGGAACAGACAATTGCTTACAAACTTAAACAAAATAAATTTTAAAGATCAGAAATACCAGATAATTTTTTCTTAATAATTCAGTGTAAATTTAGTAAAGAGTCTTTGATTCAATTTTATAATAATAATTTAGCAGAAAATAGTGTATAAAATATATTATTAACAGGGTTTCTGGACTATTAAAAAAATCTGATTCAAAAGAAATTTGAAAGATCAGAAATACCAGATAATTTTTTCTTAATAATTCGGTGTAAATTCAGTAAAGAGTCTTTCATTCAATTTTGTGATAATAATGGCAGAAAATAGTGTATAAAATATATTATTAACAGGGTTTCTGGACTATTAAAAAAATCTGATTCAAAAGAAATTTGAAAGATCAAAAATACCAGATAATTTTTTCTTAATAATTCAGTGTAAATTCAGTAAAGAGTCTTTGATTCAATGTTATAATAACGTATAAAATATATTATTAACAGGGTTGCTGAACTATTAAAAAAATCTGATTCAAAGTAATTCTTGGAAAATGAACTCCCCAAAATTAAATACTTGAATTAATATCATTAGTTAATTATTCGTTCGTGTCGATCAAGTCGATTGTAATTTTATTTTCGAGGGGAGTTGGACGTTTTGTTATAGAAATTTTTGAAATGTCACCTCTTCCTCCTCCTCCGTAGGCGGCTTTGAAAATGACTGGCAGTCCGTGTTTAATGCAAAACTCCACAGCTTCGTCGGACGAGGTCACTGGTCCATCTGTTCCCGGAACAATTGGAACTCCAGCTCCTATCGCGGCTTGTCTTGCGGCTACCTGGTGATCCACCACAAGGAAAATGTAATTTTTTGCCAATCGATGCATTTAGTAAAATAAAATAAACAGGAATGTCTGGGATATAACATTCCATTTTATTAGAAACTGAAAGAAAAATTTTAATGGGAGATTCTTGGGGCCAAAATAAGACGAAAATCAAGAATACCAATTTGTTGATGGAGGTTTCGTTAAAAAGTTATTAACGTTTAAAGTACCGCCTGTAGAACGGCGAACTGCGATCAGCGGCGCACGCGTGATAGTAGTTCTCATTCACAAAACTGTAAGACGTTAATAACTTTTTAACAAAGCCTCGATCAACAAATTGGTATTCTTGATTTTCATCTTATTTTGGCCTCTAGAATCGCCCATTTTTCGTTTTCAAATTAAAAACAATGAAACTCGGTTCTAAGGTACACAAGAAAATTAACTATCCTTGTTATAATCATTACTTACTATCTCAATGATAAGTTAAATGTATCTCCTATATCTTCGAGTTTTTTACAATAGATTTTGCTATACTCACGATAAGCACACGAAGATATATTTGATAGTATAACTGCACCATAATTATTCGATTGTATGAAAACTAGAATTATATCAGTGACTGAAAAAGTTCATTTTTTATTTCTCAAAAAAATAAAGAATTTCACGATAAAAACAAATTTATCATACAACAATAAATGTAAGAAGATATATTCGATAATGTAACTGGCTAACTGGTTGTACTATAATTATGTGACCGTATGAAAACTACAATTACATAAATTTCTGAAAAAGTTTATTTATAGAAACAAATTTGTAGAACAATAATAATTATAGAAAAATGTATTCGATAATATAAGTGACTACTTGTTGCACTATAATTATTCGATAATACGAAAAAGGAATGTTTTTCTCTGAAAAATTAGAATCTATTATCATACCTTGTCTCCCATTTGTTGTACAACTTTCGGACTAGGACCGATGAACCTAATTCCAGCATCGATTACCGCTTGCGCGAAATCTGATCGCTCAGACAGGAAACCGTAACCCGGATGAATGGCGTCGACGTCGTTTTCTTTGGCGACTTTTATGATTTCTGGAATATTCAAATAGGCCTGAACAGGTGGAAGTCCTTTCCCGACCACGTAACCCTCGTCGGCCTTCTGTCTGTGCATCTGCATTTTGTCTTGCTCCGAATAGATCGCCACCGATCGAATCCCAAGTTCGTTACATGCTCGAAACACTCGAATCGCGATTTCACCTGAAAAAATATTAAATCGCTAGAACTCTCGAACATCGTTTGGGTCCATTTTTACCCTGAAATCTGAATTTTATTATCTACCATTCCAGCACAAGCTTTCTAATTTATAAATTCTTTAATTTATCGTTTATTTTTAAACACACGTACTCATTCGAATAAATAAAAAGTACGTAGATAAATTTTTATTAAATTTTTATTAAATGATACGTAAATCATTAGAACTTTCGAACTACACATCGTTTTAACGATCGAAGGTTGAAGTCTGGATCCATTTTGACCCTGAAATCTGAATTTTATTATCTACCATTCCAGCAAAAGGTTTCTAATTTATAAATTCCTTAATTTATGGTTTATTTTTAAACGAACGTAGATAAATTTTTATTAAATTCTCCAGCCATGAAGTCCAAATATCGTCTGTTTATTTTTAGTCAGAATTAGGTTTGCACAAGTTCTGCGCTCGTAACTGGGCATGTTCACTTAAGAGGTTAATTAAGAAAACCAGAAAGCACGCTGAAAACGAGATATCACTGCAGTCGAATACATCGCGAGAATGCGAGCCGCGTAATTCATGTTAAGGAATACGATGTAATTAAGCGGAGTGCTCGCTGTAGCGCCTCATCCTAAAGTAGAAAAACCGCCGTTTGATTAATTGCTCGTCCTTGTTCCATAAAATGATACGTTTACTTTTAAAGGTACCTGAACGATTTATGAACGTGAATTCGACCGCGATCCGTCCGATCACGATTTTAAATCTTCTATATCGATATTCAATTATGCTACAGATTTCTCCAAGAAACCGGGACCACGTGTCCATTTTCAAGAAATTTACAAATCTTACGATAATATAATTTTTTGTTATGGCAACGATAAATGAGCGATGACGCGTGTTTTTCAAAGTTATTATTCTGTGCAAGTTGATCCCTATCGTTCCACAGATAAAATAATTGAGCTCCCTGGAAGAGTTACGAAATCTTGGAAGAGTGTGTATTTAAGTAAATCAATTATTAGTAAAATTAAAATCGTGGGAAAGAAGATTAAAAAATGTATTTCATTATTTATGGTTCGTTATTATCTAAAATAACAAAAAAACTTAACAAAATAATATTAAAACTCTTTCAGAGAATACTAATATCTAATTTCTTATTTAGTCCACCGAAAATAATAAAAAGATGTTTTTCTTAAAACTATACACTTTTACAAAGATGAGTTTGAATAGTATAGCTAATGTTTTTTAGATAATCCTGTTATTGCAAGGGGAATTTGAACTTAGAGAATGAATTTCAAAAGAAGATATAGTAAAATAATTTGCTTTTTTTTTTATTTTAGGTCACATGCACCTTGTTGGTTATTAGTGACCACAGTTGGATTACCTAGTGAAACTGATCATATTTAGAGCAATTGGTATACTTTAATATCTTTTAAGAAGTTTAAAATTTCTTTGCAGGAGTCTATTTCTCGTAGGATCGTTAGTGAATTTTGTAGGTTATGTTGAGTCCTCTCCATATTGTATTTAGGGCATAATTTGCTTTTCTATTACCATCAACCGACAGAAATAGACAATTTCTTCGTGATACTGATAATATTAAGTTTTCAACTCTCGTTTGTCAGAAGAATTTCTGCCTGAATGTCTCGAATCCCTCGTTTGTAATAGCCTGTAAATTGGCGCGAAAAAGATTGTTGTAAGTTACGCTATTGATTGAATATTAATGGGCGGCGTTATCGAGGGCAGACATAAGTAATTGAACATCTATTGCAACATTTCGCGTTATCATTCGTCTCAGCCCGACAAGCCAGTCTGCTTCTTCTGATTTACGCCTTTTCTGTCCGCGAGGGCTGCGAAAGGTCGTGAGCTGAATAACTATACTCCGTATAATGCAGTCGAGCATGCACTCGATAGCTCAATCTTACCGTACGATGTACAGAGAGATTATTTTTCAAGAACTCGATTAGATTGTCGACAGACGTTACGTCGCGTCCAGGTAAAATTACTTTGCACTTTTTTAATTACGCGTTACGCTCCACGTGTTCGATAAGCCTACCGTCTGCATCGTCTTTCATTTTGTTATCTCGACGCATGTGTGTGCCAATTAATTCTTCAGTTACAAATACACGAGGTCTGAAGGGCAAAGTTCAAATCAACAAAAATGTTTACTTTGAACGTGGTATCGAAAGCCACGTTCGAATATTTATATTCAGTCTCAATATTCGAAAAATGAAAATGTCCGAGGAGTTTTGAACATTTCGTTAAATTATGTTGTTTTAATGGGGAGGAGAGATGAATGATATTATTATCATTGATTCTGAAGAATTATTTTTTATCTTTTAATCTCAAATTCGATTTTAGTTTGTATGTATGTTTATATTAATTGATATTTCGACGAGATATAAAAATCGTTTCGTGTGACACTTGATATAGTAATTTGAGTCACTGAACGCTGAGTAAGAGATTGTTAATGTATATGGGTTCAAAAACCCAGTAATAACCGAGATATTCCTTGCACGATTTTCGAAGTAAATCATGTTGAAAATGTCAAGTACAATAGCTGCAGGCGTGTAATCATCAATTAGCATGAATTATATACACGTGTGAATGTACGTGAACTTGTACGAATACATTTTACGTTCGCGGATGTAAAACTGGTTGTTGCTCCTACGTAATAACAATCTTGTAGATCTTCGAGTATACTAGACATAATTTTTTGGTGAATAAGTTGCATAATTCTTTGTCAAGGAATTATTAAAAAAAAATCAACAATTTTTGTACAGTAAAATACTCTTTGAAACAAAATTGGCCAATTTCTGGTTTTGTAATTCGAGCAGCTCGAAGAGACAATAGCAAGAAAATTTCACGTGGCGAGACAAACGATTGGAAAAAAGAAATAAAACCGAAAAAAACTCACCTCGATTCGCGACGAGCACGCTTCTGATCGGTTTGTACTGGACATCGGTGCCGAAGAACCTCGACGCGATTTTGTACACTTGCAGCACATTTCTGTGCCTGACCAGCGCAATTTTCGCTCGCGTGGAATGCATTTTGAAGAATTTCGTTGTAACACCTTTGCCACGTGTGATCGCACGCCGCGCGCAGTCTTTCAGAAACAGAACGACTAGAACGGGCTCGTTAAAAATCTATAATATTCCCGTTCGAACGGAAACTCTATTCCCTGTGTTTCGAATATCCAATTGATTTCACCCGCGCTGCGCGTATTGGACGCGTCGGAATAATCGCGTGAAATATTTATCTTCGACTCTCGTTGCAAAAATATCGTTCGTTCCCTCTGTCGAGCAACAGTATCGCCCCGCATGGAAAACAACTATTTCGTTAATCGTGGATCGCTGGGGCTCGCGATCTTGTTCCTGTTGCTGCAACGAGGCTTACTGAGTTCCGTTGGTTCCGTTAGAGCTGCAATTCGTTTCCTTATCGGTAGTCCGGCGTGGTGCGATTGTCGGCTTTCTGAAACAAACGATTCGAACATTCAGGGCCCGCCATAGTGCATTTTCAACCCCACGATCGACGCGTTCGAAATATTTCGAAACGTTCACGGTGAAAACGAGAAATAAAAATTTGTAAAAGTACCATTTTCATAATTAAATCCAAAAATTTCAAATCGTTCTGGAAAAATTATTTTCGGTTGCTGGGGTCAATTATAATCATTTCTTGTCATTACATGTATCCCCGAAATTCTACGCACTTTCGAGAAAAAAATTCCTTACCGAAAATCTAATTAGATGCCTTTTTGGACGAAAAAGAAAAATTTCAAATCGTTCTAAAAAAATTATTTGCGGTTGCGGGGGTCAATTACAATCATTTCTTGTCATTACATGTATCCTCGAAATTTTACGCACTTTCGAGAAAAAAATTCCTTACCGAAAATCTAATTAGGACGAAAAAGAGAAATTTCAAATCGTTCTGGAAAAATTATTTTCGGTTGCGGGAGTCAATTACAATAATTTTTTATTATTAGACATACCCTCGAAATCCTATACACTTTCGAGAAAAAAATTCGAGAAGGTGTGAAATTTTACGACGAAAAAAAAAATTCCAAATCGTTCTGAAAAAATTATTTTCGGTTGCAGGGGTTAATTATAATCATTTTTGGTGAATAGACATACCCCCAAAATCCTGCGTATTTTCGAGAAAAAAATTCAGTTCGGATGGAACTTTAAAAGTTAATAACTTTTTAACGAAGCCTCCATCAACAAATTCGTATTCTTGATTTTCGTCTTATTTTGGCCTCTAGAATCCCCCATTAAAATTTTCCCAGGGGTAGCCGAACAGTATGTATACAGGAAAACTCTGATGTTATAAGTGTAATTAATATGATATAAAAAACAGTTGTTCATAATATTAACGTTCGATATCTGAACAAAAATTTGAATTTATATCTGAGAAGGTCTGATTTTAATACAGGGAACAATGGTACCTCAAAGTTTTATAAAATAATCTTTGTATTCGATGCAGAAATACATGTAAAAATTCGTTGCAGAAATTTTAAATTAACCTTACAAATTGAAGGAGGATAAAATGTCGAAATAAAAATTGCAATTCATATTTAACAAAATCTGATTTTAACATCTAAAGAAATTCTATCTCAAAGCTATTTAAAATATTTTATACAATATTCCAAAGACCAATCTAAAATTTGCTATAGAAATTCTAAATTTAGCTTACAAATTAAAAGAGGATAAAATATCGAAATAAAAATTGCAATTTATATTTAACATCTAAAGAAATCTCGAAGTTATTTAAACCACAAACAAACGAAAATTCCCTGCAGAAGTCTCAAATCGAGCTTATCGATTAAAATAGAATAAAATATTTGCGTGTGTAATGATTTCTGAATCACTGATTAACAATACGTGAAAACAAGCGATCCCAACTAATCCAAGTGTGTCATCGGCCCAGCTGATGTTTTTCATTCACACCATTATGTAACAACGGTATCGTACTAATTGCGAAACATTTTTCAGATAAAAAAATCATAACAATTTCGAACAAACATTGAACTCCCAACACATTGCGCAGTGTTGACGAGATTAGAGATTTCGAACGCTTCCATTATCGCGAGATTATTGATCTTTTACGAGCTTGATATCGGAACAAAAGCAATGGATACAATTTTCCGGCCAACCATGATCGAAATCTCGCCATACCGATTTCTCTTTGTGTCGAGTTCGCGCCACGGGGTACAGAGTCAAGGACAGGATTCCACAAACTAACGATAACCGTAACGGATTAACGATAACCGAGTTTTTTCTCAAACCCATTATCATTATTTACGCATTTATGAATAATTTTTTAACCGTTTCTGTGGCAGAAACCCAGATTCGACTAATTTTGAACAAGGATAGATCAAAGGCGAATAAATCAGAATAAAGCAGAGATTCTTAAATTATGATCTCGCGACCCGTCAAAGCAGATATGACAATTTTGTTAATGTCACTATTAATTCAATAACGATGTAAAATATTTTAAAAGCTCTTTTTCAGTCGTGTCAGCGCTAATTATTCTCTCGTATCGCAGAGAAGAGTGTGTCCATTGAAAAAAAAGAATTTCCTTGGAAATAAGCAAAGAGATGAAATTTATTTATGAAGCGTTTACTATATTTACTTTTATAAAAGTTATTTTTTTACATTTTGTGTCCTTGAAGCTAGGTAGAAAATAACGTAGAATTTGTTTAATTCTGCATTACTATAATGACATACAATTTTTAAAGAAAAAATTATTTCTGTTATTTTATACTTTAAATAAACGTATTTGTTCCTTTTCTAATGTTCTCATCGTTATTATTTACGGAATAATAAATCAAATAATCGAAATAAAATGATAAACAAAAGATCAGATTAAAAATCACAGATGAAATAGTGTATATGCAATATATTAACAAAACCCTTATTATTATTGTTCACATAGTATAAAGAGTACCTTCTAAAAATATCTCCATATTATACTGGCAAATATACACTACTCAAATAATCTAAATATTATAAAATAGTAATCGAAAAAATAAAATTAAAAATCACAGCTAAAACAGCATACATGCAATATATTAATATTACAACAGTTGTAATAAAATCTAATTGATCAAGAAATGGAATTTGAAATTTTCATTACAATATTTTTAAACATTTTTTTTGACTCTAAAGTCGAATTTCATCAAACTATTTTAACATTCCATATTTTGTATCTTTTTGTTCTGTCTTTGTCAGTTTTTGAGAGAAGCTAAATAAGTGTTCCATTCATAAGTTTAGGAGTACTTGCTCGCTTCGTCGGGCGTGAATGTCACCCGATAAAAAAAGAAAATATGCGAGTAATTATTTTGAATGGTTTATCTGTGTGTAATCGAAATCGTTTCATCAAAATCGGCTTGTTACAGTCGCGTGATGTTGCGAGTGGACTTTGTTCGTCGGACGAGATTGTTGAATGTGCCGAGAAATCGTAAATTTGAACGGCATCTTAGCGTATCGTAAGACTGACATAAATATCTCTACTCAAATAAAACGTCCATTATCAGGAACAAGAAAAGCATAAAGCACCACGAACGCGAGTTTTCGTGTAATCGATCAATGGAAACAACATTTAATCCATTGAGCCCTTGCTTCGATGCGCCATCTTTCCTTTTCCATTGTTTTTTCAGGCAATTTACATAATTCGATTCTGTTTTTAGAAATTTTTTAACTTGAATGAAATTTTGCGTTGATACTAGATTTTTGGACGATTTCAAACATTAAAACATTAAATTTTTAAGCTTCAGAAGCATACATTTTTCTAGAAAAAAGAAGTCAAGATCAGAAAATTTTGTTATAATATCACTCTTTAACCTAAAGGTCTATTTATACACGAATCGATAAAAGTAACAGTAATAAATGAAGTTTAATCTCCTAGTTGATAATAATGTGACAGTTCAGCTAAAACGATATTAATGTTTAGATTATATTTATCTTTCTATTAATGGAAACTTGTATTTTTAACCATAAAAACGTGTTGTAAAATTCTTTTGAATTTGATTTAAAAATGTTTCAACAAATGTGTCACAAATGATAAAATTGAAAAGTATTTAAGTAATTACAAAATAATCGAAGATCCATTATTAAATGTTCAAAATAAATCCAACTTCTTCTCTATGTCAAATTAACAAATTAAATACAAAGGAAGGGGATTCTAGGCTCGAAATATAATTCCAAAAAAGGTCACAAAAATAAATGCAAGAACTTTTCGTTTCTCCAAATGTAATGGAAAAATAATTTCTTATCAAATCTCTAAACAGAATCTGAGATCGAATTACTTTTCTAAACGCAAGCACGAACGTTTAATCGATCGAAAATGTTTAAAAATTCAACGTCCGAACGAAGAAAAAACATTTACCAACGAAAGTCCGATTCGATCTGGGATAAGTGACAACATGAATGATGTTCACTTGAGTCACAGTGTGTTTAAATAGTACACGCCGTGATATCAATCGGCAAAACGTAAACTTCTAGCCAGATAACGATATCAATGTTGGAAAATATTTTGAACTTATGGCGTTCGATTGATTTGCAAGTTAAACGCAATGACGGAACAGATCTGAATGCGAAAACCGACTCGTTCCCCGACCTTCGTCGCCGCACTTTGAATCCACGAATCGTCTCTGTGGTTAACGTTCTTATTCCATACGCGTCTCTTATAAATAAATAAACCGCGATTAAAGCCTCGTCGCGATGTTTGTCGAATAAATTTTAACGACGATGCATCGTGTTAGAAACGACGACGATGCACCGTGTGCAACGCAATTATTAACCTAATTTACGGTTCAATTCTCCAATTAAGTTTCGATTTGACACCAGTTCATTGTGGAATCGGTGCAACGTATAGCAGACTGTGAATTTTAATTAATTATTATGAAATTCCTATGTAGTGACTATAGACTGCTAGTTTTAATTAATTTTTATAAAATGTATACGTATTAACTGAACAGAGAATTTTTATTAAATTTCTACATACATACGTGTGTTGAGTAAACTGAGAATTTTAATTAATTTGTATATAATTTCTACGTATTATGCAGACTAAAAATTTTAATTTATTTCGACAAAAGTAAAGAATTTTTATAAATTTCTATGAATTATTTATAGCATAAACTATGTAGCTCTGAGAAAAATTTTAATGGAAGATTCTAGAGGCCAAAATAAGACGAAAATCAAGAATATCAATTTATTAATGGAGGCTTCTTTAAGAAGTTATTAACGTTTAAAGTTCCGCTCGTATTGAATTTTTTTCTCGAAAATGCGCAGAATTTCGGAGGTATGTCTATTCACCAAAAATGATTATAATTGACCCCTGCAACCGAAAATAATTTTTCTAAAACGATTTGAAATTTTTTTTTCGCCGAGAAATTAAACCACCTTCCTGAATTTTTTTCTCGAAAGTGCGTAAGATTTCAGGGCTATGTGTATTCACCAAAAATGGTTGTA